GCATCTATGGCAAGCATCCTCAGAGGTAGTGAGGTCTGTTGGAAGTAGGAAAATGGGTTTATATATCTGTGGAATGGCTGGGGTGGGGCAAGGAGCTCTTCTCTGCTGGAGCTAGGTGTGAATGTTTCAGCTGACCACCTTCATTAGCATTTGAAAGCCTGGCTGAGCCTGGGAAAATCTTTTGTTGAGCGGTGTTAAGATGTGCCTGGTTGTCTTCCTCTGCTGTTTTGCTGTTGTAATTTTGGAGTTTTTTAATACTGGTAGCCAGATTTTGTTCATTTTCATGGTCTCTTCCTTTCTGTTGAAATTGTCCACATGCTTGTGGATTTCAATGGCTTCTCTGTGTCGTCTGACATGGTGGTTGTTGGTGTGGTCCAGCATTTCTGTGTTCTCAAATAATATGCTGTGTCCAGGCTGGTTCATCAGGTGCTCTGCTATGGCTGACTTCTCTGGTTGAAGTAGTCTGCAGTGCCTTTCATGTTCCTTGATGCGTGTCTGGGCGCTGCTGCGTTTGGTGGTCCCTATGTAGACTTGTCCACAGCTGCATGGTATACGGTAGACTCCTGCAGAGGTGAGAGGATCCCTCTTGTCCTTTGCTGAATGTAGCATTTGTTGGATTTTCTTGGTGGGTCTGTAGTTTGTATGTTGTGTTTCCTCATCAGCTTCCCTATGCGGTCAGTGGTTCCCTTGATGTATGGCAGCAACACTTTTCCTCTGGGTGGATCTTCATCTTTACTCTCGTGGCTTGTTCTTGGTCTTGCAGCTCTTCTGATGTCTGAGGTGGAGTATCCATTGGCCTGGAGAGCCCAGTTGAGGTGGTTCAGTTCATCTTGGAGGAGGTGGGGTTCGCAGATTCTTTTTGCACGGTCTGCCAAGGCTTTAATGGTGCTTCTTTTTTGACTTGGGTGATGGTTGGAGTTTTTATGTAGATATCTATCTGTGTGTGGGTTTTCTGTAAATGGTGTGACCCAATTGTTGATCTGGTTTGCGAATGACTAGGACATCTAGAAAAGGCAGTTTCTTCATTTTCTTTTTCCATGGTGAACTGGATGTTTGGGTGGATGCTGTTAAGATGGTCCAGGAACCTGTTGAGTTCTTCTTCTCCATGGCTCCAAATGGTGAAAGTGTCATCCACATATCTGAACCATATCGTGGGCTTTTTGGCTGCTGTCTCCAGGGCTTGTTTTTCAAAGTGTTCCATGTAGAAGTTAGCTATGACCGGGCTGAGAGGCCTGAATTACATTTTGAAATCTTGACTTAGGAAAACGAGGTGCCTTCATCCCCCTCCTCTCTTCCATCGATACACACATACATAGCTGTATTGCACCAGCCCAAGGCCATTCCCCAAAGGCCCCAAATGCACAGAATAGAGCACCCTCAAAGCAAACAAGAAGCAGAAAGCACCAAACCAAGGCCACCCTTTTATCTCTTAGATGTGGGGACTTGGAGCAGATTCAGAAGCCCTTTCTGGCAACCCTTAGGGCTAATAATAATAATAAACTTTATACCCCGCTACCATCTCCCCAAGGGACTCGGTGCAGCTTACATGAGGCCGAGCCCACAGTACATCAATACAAGCAATAACAACAATAGTAAAACAATAAAATAAAACACATAAACAAAAAACCAATATACAATGACAGTAATGCAATACACAATTAAAATCTATGGCTAGGCCAAATGTAATTAAAGTTAAAAATAATGCTAGGCATTAAAAATAATGCTAGAACAGTGGTTCTCAACCTTCCTCATGCTGCGACCCATTAATACAGTTTCTTATGTTGTAGTGACCCCCAAACAAAAAATTATTTTCGTTATTACTTCATAACTGGAATTTTGCTACTGTAACAAATCTTGAAAGTAAATATCTAATATTCAGGATGTATTTTCATTCACTGGACCAAATTGGCACAAAAACCCAATACGCCCAAATTTGAATACTGGTGGGATTGGGGGGACGGGACAATAATGATTTTGTGATTTGGGAGTTGTAGTTGCTGGGATTTATAGTTCACCTACAATCGAAAGAGCATTCTGAACTCCACCAACGATGGAATTGAACCAAACTTGCCACACAGAACTCCCATAACCAATAGAAAATACTGGAAGAGTTTGGTGGGCATTGACCTTGAGTTTTGGAGTTGTAGTTCACTTACATCCAGAGAGCACTGTGGACTCAAACAATGATGGATCTGGACCAAACTTGGCATGAATACTCAATATGCCAAAATGTGAACACTGGTGGAGTTTGGGAAAAATAGACCTTGACATTTGGGAGTTGTAGTTGCTGGGATTTATAATTCATCTACAATCAAAGAGCAGTCTGAACCCCACCAATGATAGAATTGGGCCAAACTTCCCACACAGAAACCCCCATGACCAACAGAAAACTGTGGAGAGCTTTGGGATGAATTGACAGTGATTTAGGGGACATGTAGTTCACCAACATCCACAGAGCACTGTGAATCCAAATGACTATGCCAAAGGGATTCCTAAGACCACCAGAAATGTGTTTTTGGATGGTCTTTATATGTGTATATATATATGTGTGTGTGTTTGTGTATATATGTGGTTTTGTGCATGCGTTGTAATGCATTTTTTGGCTTTTTAAGTCTCTTCTGCTGTGTTTTTCAGTGTTTTTATGAGTGATGGTCACTCATTGGCCTGATAGGCGTATTGTGTCCAAATTGGGTGTCAAGTCATCCAGTGGTTTTTGAGTTATGTTAATCCCACAAACTAGCATTACATTTTTATTTATATATATAGTAATCTATATAACAGGTATATAATAGGTACCGCTCCGGCGGGAAGGTAATGGCACTCCATACAGTCATGCCGGCCACATGACTTTGGAGATGTCTATGGACAACGCCAGCTCTTCGGCTTAGAAATGGAGATGAGCACCACACCCCAGAGTCAGACATGACTGGACTCAATGTCAGGGGACAACCTTTACCTAATCTGTATAACAGTAATATATAAAAGATTGTAATTATATCTTACATAATATATGTGTGTGTGTTTTATAATATGTATGTTATAGTTATATATTTCTATCTATACCAGGCCTTACAACTTAGCAGAGTTAAAGGGGCCAATATTCCACTCAGGAGTAATCCAGAGAAGGCAACAAATTCTTTTTTTTGTCCCTAGGTTGAGCAGATGAGAATGTCTTTCCCTGTTGGTGGCCACTCAGGATCTGAAGTATGATATGAGTTAGAAGGGAATATAGAAAAGATATGTTTTGGCAATTTTTTTGCGCTTGCCATATCACAATATGTCTTCCTAAACAAAGGTTGGATACAACTGTTCATGCGTTGTAGTACAAAAGATCACAATCTGAATTTTGGGCCACTGTTCCCTTTGCATCTAAACAGGGATGCTTTTAAATAGGGTTAAAAATAGCTCAACAGGCCATGTTAGAAACATGAGTCCTAGGACCCTGAAATGAAACTTGGGCAAAACTGGTCAAGCAGCAGAGCTTTTTATTTATATAGCTTCTTGCAAGAGGGGTGTCCGAATCGAATTAGGAAGAGGACAGCAACAGAAAAGCCGCTGTTCAGTGGTCAAATGCAAGGCCCCACAGCCAAGTCTTGAGTTTCCTTCTAAAGGACAGGAGGGAGGTGGCCAGTCTGATGTCTTTGGGGAGGGAATTCCACAGACAGGGAGCCACTGTTGAGAAGGCCCTGTCTCTCGTCTCCACCAATCGCGTTTGTGATGGCGGTGCGATCAAGAGCAGGGCCTCTCCAGACGATTTTAAACTTTGTGATGATTCGTAGTAGGAGATATGTTTGGATATGATCAAGGGTCTGGAGAACAAGCCCTATGAGGAGCAGCTTAAGGAGCTGGGCATGTTTAGCCTGAAGAAGAGAAGGCTGAGGGGAGATATGATAGCCATGTATAAATATGTGAGAGGAAGCCACAGGGAGGAGGGAGCAAGCTTGTTTTCTGCTTCCCTGGAGACTAGGGCACGGAACAATGGCTTCAAACTACAAGAGAGGAGATTCCATCTGAACACGAGGAAGAACTTCCTGACTGTGAGAGCCGTTCAGCAGTGGAACTCTCTGCCCCGGAGTGTGGTGGAGGCTCCTTCTTTGGAAGCTTTTAAACAGAGGCTGGATGGCCATCTGTCAGGGGTGATTTGAATGCAATATTCCTGCTTCTTGGCAGGGTTGGACTGGATGGCGCATGAGGTCTCTTCCAACTCTTTGATTCTATGATTCTATGACATGTAGTCTGGGCAATCTAGAGCAGTGGTTCTCAATCTGGGGTCCCCAGATGTTTTTGGCCTTCAACTCCCAGAAATCCTAACAGCTGGTAAACTAGCTGGGATTTCTGGGAGTTGTAGGCCAAAAACATCTGGGGACCCCAGGTTGAGGACCACTGGTTTGGAGCTTTAAAGGTTAAAACCAGCACTTTGAATTGTGCTCTGAAGCAGATCAGTAACCAGTGGAGCTGGTGTAACAGAGGAGTTGTATGCTCCCTGTACGCTGCTCCAGTGAGCAACCTGGCTGCTGACCGTTGGACTAATTAAAGTTTCCGGGCAGTCTTCAAAGGCAGCCCCACATAGAACACATTGCAGTAGTCTATTTGGGATGTAACCAGAGCATGGACCACCATGGCCCAGTCAGACTTCCCAAGGTATGGGCGCAGCTGCCGCACCAGTTTTAATTGTGCAAAAGGTCTCCTGGCCACCGCCAAGACCTGGGTTCCAGGCTCAGCGATGTATCTAGGATCACTCCCAAGCTGCGAACCTGCGTCTTCAGGGGGAGTGTTACCCCGTCAAGTACAGGCTGTCACCCTAATCTCTCCCTTGTTTCTCTAATGGTTGGATAATCCAAACTTTTCACCTATCTGAGGCACCTAATGAAGTCCCGCCCCTGCTTACATCACTTTGCATTTGCCATGTTTTTCTGTTTCTGTTTTTCTGTTTATCCAACTCGAATGGAGATCTAGGAAAATGTGCTTTTTTATCATTTTTCACTCCCTCCCATCTGTAGTTGACACACTTTGTGTTTATCTGTGCCCCAACAGTTCTAGCCATAGGCAATTTTATCAATTCGTGAACACATAATGTGAGCTCACCCTTATTTTTTCTCGTGGCATATTTGTTTATTATTGAGGTTATCTTGCACTTTGTAGAAACAATTGAGGTTATCTTGCACTTTGTAGAAACCGGTTGGGTCTTAATTGATAGCAAACCAAAAAGCATTATTGATAAGAAACCAATAGGCATATCACATAACGAGTGCTTCCCAGTTGGATCAGTTTTCCTCCTCCCAACTCCATGGCTTGCTATATTTTGAGGGATCAACTTGTGGGGTTCCACAGGGATCAATATTGTCTCCCATGTTGTTTAACATCTACATGAAGCCGCTGGGGAAGATCATCTGAAGTTTCAGGGTACGGTGTCATCTGTACGCGGATGATGTCCAACTCTGTCACTCCTTTCCACCTGCTACTAAGGAGGCTGTTCAGGTCCTGAACTGGTGCTTGGCCGCTGGATGGCGAACAAATTGGTCTGGATGAGGGCGAACAAATTGAAATTGAATCCAGACAAGACAGAGGTACTCCTGGACGGTCGTAAGGCCGAACAGGGCATAGGGTTACAGCCTGGTTGGACGGGGTCACACTCCCCCTGAAGACGCAGGTTCATAGTCTGGGTGTGATCTTGGACTCGTCGCTGAGCCTGGAACCCCAGGTTTCAGTGGTGACCAGGGGAGCATTCGCACAGTTAAAACTTGTGCGCCAGCTGCGCCCGTACCTTGGGAAGTCTGACTTGGCCACGGTAGTCCACGCTCTGGTTACATCCCGTATAGACTACTGCAACGCTCTCTACCTGGGGTTGCCTTTGAAGACTGCTTGGAAGCTTCAAATGGTCCAGTGTTCAGTGCAGCCAGGTTGCTAACAGGAGCGGCACTCAGGGAGCATACTACTCCTCTGTTGCGCCAGCTCCACTGGGTGCAAGTTTGCTACCAGGCACAATTCAAAGTGCTGGTGTTAGCCCTAAACGGTTCTGGCCCTACTTACCTCTCAGAACGCATCTCCTCCTATGAACCGGCTAGGACACTAAGATCATCTGGGGAGGCCCTGCTCTCTGTCCCACCTGCATCACAGGCGCGCTTGGCGGGGACGAGAGACAGGGCCTTCTCAGTGGTGGCCCCTCGGCTGTGGAACAACCTGCCTGCAGATATCAGATCGGCCCCCCTCCCTGCTGGCGTTTCGGAGGAAAGTGAAGACCTGGATGTTCGAACAAGCATTTGATTAAACAGTGTAATTGAACATAGGAATACGGAATAATGGATGATGAGACTGGATTCTGATTTTACTGTTGAGGCGCTAATGATTGTCATACGGATGTTTAATGATTTATGTTATAATTGTCTATACTTGTCTCGTGATGTTTTGTATTGATGTTGTTCACCGCTTTGAGTTGCCTGAGGGCTGAGAAAAGCGTTGCATAAATAAAGCAAATAAATAAATAAATATTGAAGTCCAACTGAAATCTTTTTGTGCTCAACCACTATTTAGATGTTGCCTTTTTTTTGTCCAACAGATACCTTCTGAATAAATCTTCTGAAGAAAACTCTGTGATGCTTCTCCTAGAGTTGCAGTATTTCCAAAAGGACTTCAAGGCACACAGCTATAAAAGCAACAAGGAAATAGATAGGCAAAAAAACCCACAAGCCATCATCCTGTAGAATCAAAGGAGAAGAACAATCTTGTGGTGTAAAAATATCAGTTTAGAAAAAGGGACAACAGAAGACTGGGAACCAGAAATGTTGTGTTCTTTGAGTTGTTCATATTTGTGAAATTCTCACTTAATATCCAAATTCTGACTTAATATCCAGATCCCATACATCCATTTTGCAGTGGTATGGAACATGCAAAGAGCTTACGTCTGAAAACTATTCTTCCTATACATCAAGAAAGTCACACAGAGGAGAAGCCGTATGAATGCATGGAATGTGGAATGAACTTTTCTGCCAGTAGAAGTCTGCGTTCCCATCAAAGAACCCATTCAGGGGAAAAACCACATAAATGCATAGAATATGGAAAGAGATTTAAATATGTTGGCAAGCTGAATTACCATCTAAAGACCCACATAGGGGAGAAACCACATAAATGCATTGAATGTGGGAAGAGCTACACTCGGAATGACAAGCTCCGTGACCATCAAAAGACTCACACAGGGGAGAAGCCACATACTTGTAAGGAATGTGGGAAGAGCTTCTCTTGGAGTGACAACCTGCGTACTCATCAAAGGACCCACACAGGAGAGAAGCCATACAAATGCATAGAATGTGGAAAGAGCTTCCGTGTCAATGAACGATTGCGTTCCCATCTAAGGACCCACACAGGAGAGAAGCCATACAAATGCATAGAATGTGAAAAGAGCTTCCGTGTCAATGAACGATTGCGTTCCCATCTAAGGACCCACACAGGAGAGAAGCCATACAAATGCATTGAATGTGGAAAGAGCTACAGTGAGAGAGGACACCTGCGTATTCATCAAAGGACCCACACAGGGGAGAAACCACATAAATGCATGGAATGTGGGAAGAGCTTCTCTCGGAGTGGCAACCTGCTTACTCATCAAAGGATCCACACAGGAGAAAAGCCATTCAAATGTATGGAATGTGGAAAGAACTTTAAATATGTTAACAAGCTGAATTACCATCTAAAGACCCACATAGGGGAGAAACCACATAAATGCATTGAATGTGGGAAGAGCTACACTCGGAGTGACAAGCTCTGTGACCATCAAAAGACTCACACAGGGGAGAAGCCACATACTTGTAAGGAATGTGGGAAGAGCTTCTCTCGGAGTGACACCCTGCGTACTCATCAAAAGACCCACACAGGGGAGAAGCCATACAAATGCATGGAATGTGGAAAGAGCTTCACTCGGAGTGACAAGCTGCATGACCATCAAAAGACCCACACAGGGGAGAAGCCACATGCATGTAAGGAATGTGGGGAGAGCTTCTCTCGGAGTGACAACCTGCATACTCATAAAAAGAGATGCCATACAAATGCATAGAACGTGGAAAGAGTTTCAGTGTGAAAGTACACTTGCGTTCCCATGAAAGGACTCACACAGGAGAAAAGCCATATAAATGTATGGAATGTGGGAAGAGCTTCCATGACAATAGCACTCTCTGTTCCACAAAGGAGAACAACAATACTTAGGCGATCCCTTGTAATCCGAGGATGATGGTCCTCATGAACATTGTCAAAATCCCCATGAGTAAAAAATAAACCATTCTTTTCAATCAACTGTGTTGCAACCCCATTCTTCTTGCACACAATTTGATTGCTTTCACTATTGAAAAGCACATCAAAACCCTGTTTTGCTTTCACTATTGATGGTCCTCCAAGTGTAGTATCCTGGGGGTGGGTCCGTAGATGACTGTGGAGCCCTATTCTTGATCAGCGTGTTCTCCTACAGTGAGGGCATTGGTTTCCAGGTGGAAGGCGGTTCTGGTCGGGGTTGGCTTGACGCGCCTTCCTCTTGGAACGTTTCTCTCTTTTGCCCAGCTGGAGCACTTAAGGGCCAGGGCTTCCCAGTTCTCAGTGTCTATGCCAGAGTTTTTAAGGTTGGCTTTGAGCCCATCTTTCAATCTCTTTTCCTGTCCACCAACGTTCCATTTTCTGTTCTTGAGTTCGGAGTAGAGCAACTGCTTTGGGAGACAGTGGTCGGCATCTGGACAACACGGCCAGTTCAGCGTAGTTGATGGCAGAGGACCATCGCTTCAATGCTGGTGATCTTTGTTTCTTCCAGCTTGTCTTCCCAAGAGATTTGCAAGATTTTCCGGAGGCAGTGCTGATGGAATCGTTCCAGGAGTTTCATGTGACGTCTGTAGACTGTCCACGTCTCGCAGGCGTATAGCAGGGTTGGGAGGACCATAGCTTTATAAACAAGTATCCCTACGGATGTCAAACACTCTCTGCTTCATTCGGAAAAATGCTGCACTCGCAGAGCTCAGGCGGTGTTGAATTTCAGTGTCAGTGTTGACTTTTGTATAGAATGCGACAAGAGCTTCAATACTAGGATATCACACACCATACATGGGTGAGAAGCCTTAGAAATGCACAGAGTTTGGAAGGAACTTCACTAGTAGCAGAGTCTGTGTTGCGGTAAGTCCTTGCAGGACCAAGTATGTGTGTGAAGAAAAACTATGTGTGGTAATTATCTTGTTCAGCTGGCTAAGTAGGTCAACCAGCAATCTTGTACCACACCCAAGGGGCTATAACTGTTTGCGTTTCTTTGAATACATTCTGGAGTTCTGGTTCACCAGCATGGAGATGCTGAAGGAGAGATCCTGAGGGAGAGCCTTTCCTCGGAGGAGACCTATGGACAAAGGCTTGGCTCTGGGGAGCAGTTTTGAGAACCTACTCTGAGGAGGCTATGCTGTAATAGCATTTACTTCAGGTTTATTTTGATCTCATTTACTGTAAGATGCCTTATTTTATGTTTCTTACAAATACTGTGTAAATATGTTGAACTGCTAATTTTTTGTATGCAACATTTTTTTTCTGTTTACTTTTACTACTGGTCTGTGAGTCTTGCGTTTGGACTTTGGGCACTGGGACGTCTGGCTAAAACACGCACTGAGTAACAGTCTGCACTATATATTCAGGAATATATAGTGTTGGTTTGACTAAAGCTTTGTTTTGTGGATTGTTTTTTGCGTTCATTATTTTCCAAAAAGTTATATTATAATTTGTTTTTAAAACAGAACTCATGTAGTGCAAAACCCATAGAAATGTATCACATATTTTCCTTTTTTTACTAGATTAGTTTTTCAGGATCCTTTAAATATCATTGGGGAGCCTCTTATTCTTGTCCCTAACTCCCCCGTATTTCTTTTCTTGGTATTCCTGCATCTCTGTAGTATGACATGCTCTTACTAATGTTAAAAAAAAACCCAATGTTTTGATTTTCTTCGCTTCTTTTAGGAAATTAATAAAAGGTTGCTACTCTTCTTTAAATGTGTAAAATAAAGGTGTTTTTTTATTAAAAAGACAAGTCATAAAATAATTAGCCCACTCAGAAAATATGGGATACAAGCAGAAAGGACTCTAGCAGCAAGTTCTCTGACCTACAAGAAGCACTGCCAGAATATCAAGCAAAAAGTGGGCGCTAGAAACAATATCAGGCGAAAGCTGACTGGCACAACCTGGGGATCACAACCAGACACAGTGAGTCCCCCTAGGGGTGAGAAGGGCGGGGTATAAGTGAATGAAATAAATAAAAATAAAAAGGCATCTGCCCTTGCGCTATGCTACTGCTGAGTACGCATGCCCAGTGTGGAACCCATCTCACCACACTGAAACAGTGGACATGGCTCGTAGTGAAACATGCTTTGTTGCTACTTCATGACTGTAGTTTGCTACTTCATGACTATAATTTTGCTACTGTTATGAATCGTCATGTAAATATTTGATATACAGGATGGGGTGTTATCATGGGGTGTCTGTGCCTTACACCATTGGAGAAATTACACTGTTTAGCCCATATTGCACCACCTGACATCCACCAGGAAGTAGCAGCCAGCAATGAAAGGACCAAGGTTTGACATCTCTGGCCCATCCTCTGTTCGGATATCAGCCAGCATGCCAATGCCTTAGATCAAGAAATAGTTTTCTAAAATCTACACTCGCTGGAACACCTCAGCAAGCGAGAGTCCAAAAGTGGCAGGCTAAAACCCAGAATCTCAGTCAATGGCTGATACTAAACTGTTCCGGCCCAAGATACCTATCCGACCGCATCTCTACCTATGAACCCACCAGGACTTTGAGATCTTCCTGGGAGGCCCTGCTCCCGATCCCACCAGCCTCACAGGCGCGGCTGGCGGGGACGAGAGATAGGGCCTTCTCGGTGGTGGCTCCTCAGCTGTGGAACACCCCGTGGACATCAGATTGGCCCCTTCTCTAATAATATTCCACAGGAAATTAAAGACGTGGTTGTTTAGGGAGGCGTTCGAACAGGAGGTGTAATGATTGGTAATGACCATAAGAACGGAATAATGGAATATGATATTGGATGGTGATTTGGACGATGAGACGACGCGGAATGGTTTTTTGTAGAAAGGATGTTTACTGTATTTGTATAATGTTGTGAATTGTTTTTATTGTGCTTTGAATTTCGCTGTTTTTGTGCTGGACACCGCTGTGAGTCGCCCTCAGGCTGAGAACAGCGGTCTATAAATAAAGTAAGTAAGTAAATAAATAAATACTAATGAAAGACTCCCTCCTGGGCATGCAGAAGACTGGGCGACTTGGAAGGTGCTGAACAGACTGCACTCTGGCACCACGAGATGCAGAGCCAACCTTAAGAAATGGGGCCACAAAGTGGAGTCCACGAAATGCGAGTGTGGAGAAGAGCAAACCACAGACCACCTATTACAATGCAACCTGAACCCTGCCATATGCACAATGGAGGACCTTCTTATAGCGACACCAGAGGCACTCCAAGTGGTCAGCTTCTGGTCAAAGGACATTTAGTATAATACCAAGTTTTTTAAACTTTGTGTTTTTTAAATAAATTATAACTCTACCCTCAATTTGCAAACTTTGTGTTTTTTTAAAAAATGCAATACAACTGTTTGGTTCAGCCCTGATGCAATAAGTAAAATCTAGCGGCAACGGATTCATATTTGTTTGATATTTTTAGGAATGTTGTTCGTGCGCAGTAGAAACTGCAGTTGTTCAAGGCCTAGATCTAACATGGCACAAACTCAGGGCCTGAAACACATGGCTCCCCTTCCGTTGTGCTCCTGCCTGGAAGTCCAGCTTTGCTTCCCATTGGAAGGTCCAAGTAGGTTCCTGGCTGGACAGAGGAGGAGGCTTCGGGAGCTGGAGAGGGCAAGGCCAGATTGGCTCTGCTGGAACTCCATGGGAAGATTTGGGCTTGTTTGCATTCTGCAAGTCTAGATAAATAAAAATGTAATGTTCGTTTGTGGGATTAACAGAACCCAAAAACCACTGGACGAATTGACACCAAATTTGGACACTAGACACCTAACAACCCAATGTATGTCCTTCACTCAAAAAAATTGATTTTGTCATTTGGGAGTTGTAGTTCCTTGGATTTATATTTCACCAACAATCAAAGAACATTCTGAACCCCACCAACGATGGAATTGAACCAAACTTGGCACACAGTTCTCCCATGACCAACAGAAAATACTGGAAGGGTTTGGTGGGCAATGTCCCTTGGTTTTGGTGTTGTAGTTCACCTACATCCAGAGATCACTGAGGACTGAAACAATTGATGACTCCCCAAGTCGCAGAATCTCCCGCCTTCAAGTTGGTTTGAACCGCAGCAGGGAGTTCCGCAGTTCCGGAGAGCCAAGTTGGGTCCGACTGATGAAATGTGCCCCAGCCAGCAGCTCAAAGCAAAAGACTGCATGAAGCCTTTCTTTCACTTTCCCCTCTCCCTCTCTTTGTAACAAATCCCCTAATAAACCACTTAAGATTTGAAACTTTAAATCCTTTCCGCTTGATACTTTGTGTCCTTTACTGACTGAAACTTTTCTAACTCACAATAAACCTTTTTCTGAGCTCCGGGGAACCGTGAGCTCACTGGGGATGCTTTCCCGGCCTCCCCAGGCCCCCGAATTTGCGTTAGTTCAAACCGCGGATACGGAGGTTTTCCTAATGGGCCCCTTTATCCGCCAAAACAACAACATGGCGGATCGGCCCCGTTCAAATTTTATATTTTTCTACATTAAATTCTAAGACTAACTGCTATCTTGGTTTTCTCATTTTGGACTCCTGCACTCGTGAAATAATTGTTTTTGTTTAAGTATTAAATCTGGCCGAGAAACAGCTGATTGCCAAACTTTCGCCGGCTTTGCCGGCTTGCTCCATTCCGCTCGCTGCCGCTCGCTCCAGCATGGCTCCCGCCGCCTGCGATCCACCGCCGTTGCCCAAGGGGAAGTCTTGGAAGTGGGGGATCGGGCAGGGAGGCGCTAGTTCCACCAAGGACAGGACAGTGGAACCTAGCTCCCCCTTCAGCTCCAGCTCCCGCTTCATGAAATGAACTGATCTTCTGATGGCCAGCCTGAACCATGGGCTGGCCCCTGCATTCAAACCCCTCCGTCCGGACTTTGGGACTTATAGTTTTCCTTTTCTTTTTTTTGAAATAAATAAAATATTTTCTTACTATGATGAACTGGGGTTGGGATGGGTTGTGGGTTGCGATATTATGAAATGCCTGTATATTAGTGATGCCTGTGTTTTATGAATATGATATATGTAACCCTTATGAACTCTCCTGTATCCTCACCCCCCTTGACCCTTACCCCATAAAACCGGCGTGACCAGGAACTGCCTGAGGGAAGAGCCCAAGCCTCTTTC